ACGTATTGTCACCGAAAATTACAACCATATTTCCATAAACTCGCACACTCATCCAATTTTACACAATACACATATCTTTGCTAAATTTACTTAATGCTAAATTATATTCTCGAAGAAATTGTGAACAAGCGTTGGAACACCCATTTTTCAACAACAATGGGAGTGTGAATATGAATAAGAATACGAATAATGATAATAATAAGAAAACAATAATAATAATAATACCTTGATGACCAAATATTCGTAGATCCCACCATTTTACGCAATATTTGGTCATCAAGGTATTATTATTATTATTTTCTTATTATTCTCATTATTCGTATTCTTATTCATATTCCCATTATATCTCGAAGTGATGACAAAACAATAACACATTCTAACGTCTAATAGCTGCTCTCCGGATCTAATAAAAACTGACCATAATGTAAATGCGCCACAAACACTTGGTCACCAATTGTCCAAATATCACCATGCTCAACAATTCGCTCATCGTTCACTTCCAATTGAGTACCGTTGATGAATACTGGTAATTCGTGTTGTGCGGTACTCATTTGATATGCACGAACCGCTTCTTCATAGTGCACTCGAACACATTCCTGAACTCATCATTTCAAAAATCAGTCCAACCAACCGCTATCGGAATATAATTCAAAACCCTCACATCAGGAAGATTGGCGTCGGATGACGGCAACTGAATATCACAATTCGGTGAACAACCCAGCGTTCCACCAGTAATGGTTATAACGCTCAAGTGAGCATGTACACAATCAACCAAACGAATACACGGTGCATGTTCCATTCGTTCAACTGCAAATAAAATTTCGATATTGTTAAAATGAAAATGACATTTCAACTAATTGTAAGCCCTTCATTGAAAGCAAACATGCGAACACGTAAAGAGATTCATATGGAACGGTTCGATTTACAATGAAATACGAGAAACTCATCGTTTTTTTTTTGATTTTGAGTAAACAAAATGAAAAAATTAACACATCGTCGTCATCATCACTGTTATGTTCGAAGGCAAAACAACTGACTCTGCATCATTTGCTGAATTTCATCATCCGATTCTGAATCGAGAACTATCACATCGTCGTCATCGTCGCTATCCAACTGCACAACCGGATCAATTTCTTTATCAATAATTTCATCGATGATTTCGTGAATACAGTCGAATATTTCCACTTCATCTTGCGGCATTCCGAGCGTATACGATTCACCTACAACATCAACTTGTTTTACTCATAAAACGATGATACTGAGAAAGATTCAGAATTGTGAAATTCGGTTCCGTTGCATTTAACTGTGACCTAAAATCGGAGGTTTTTCGTTTGCACGGATCAACGTTCACATAAAATAAATTCAAATTTTCATCAGAACTTCAAAAAAGTCGATCGATCAATTTTTCACATTGGAAAGAACAAACCGAAAACTCGGATAGCATGTCGTTTTGCTGCACGTCGTTTCCATTTCTGTTCACTGGCAACTCTCGAATGATAAACGTAAGATGCGGTTGCTTCATCATAATAGTAATAACATCGTGTAGGTGGGTAATAGTACAATGAGGTATTCTGTAAAAAACAATTTTTCGAAACCTTATGTCACATCGAATTCGATCAGAAATCTTTCACCCAACATTACCTATAATTAAAGAAGTAAATCGAAAAGAAAAGACAACGAATACCTTTGAAAAAAAATAGTGAAAACAATGGAAACATCATATAACAAATACCTGATCATAGTAGTAACCCGTTTCTGCACTATAATACAACTGATATTGTTCGTTGAATTCAAATCCTGGTAAATAGCTCTCGCGAATGAACGCATTTACAGTTTCCTTGACCATATCTGCGATTGACTGAGTTGGCTGAAATAACTGGTAAAATCAGCTTATCATTATGTTGCTACCTGCTAATATTTGAAAAGAAAGAAACACTATAACAATAACTACCTGAGTATTTAACGGCAAATCATTAGAGTTTTCCATATTTAAATCACGTGCAAGTTCAGTTGATTCTGTTGGCTTCGCTTGAGAGTATGACGATGTCCAAATGGCAGAAGTGCTTGGCTCACACCGATTTGGGCATTCTTTATCGTCAGTTCCATCCGATGAATCAAGCAGTTGACCATAATCCGCTGATTCCATATCCTCCATACAAGTTTCTCGATCGTACACTACAGTCTTTAATATTTCGACGTCTTCAACCATACTCTGGAGATCACGACTGGTGAATTGTTTCAGTGGAATGTTAACAACATAAGAACGATGAAAAGCATTTAAAAGTGAAAAGGATATGACTTTGCAGTGCTATTGCAGTCAGCTCTAATGAAATAATTTATTAAATCAAGAATTTCTGGATAGAATAGAATAGGATCACATTTGAATAGAGTCTTTAATTCGGCAATCTTGCTGACAAAATGGATTTTGAAATAAGGCTCATTAGGGCCTTTTAAACTGCAGTTCTGCTCCGAAATCTGTTGATATAACTCAGGCTCATTGCTGGATAATCTTTAACTAAAGCGGTCTATTCATTGCTCAAAACAAACACGGCACTCCTTGGCAACTCGTCTTACACACATCCTTCTCGATAGAAATCAAAGATTGAAGAAACAGTAAGATGAGGAAGTGAATACAGTTCAGATTCCTGGGAGAAATATGAATGAGAGTGATTCAGTAATGCATCTGAAGTGAATGAGAAAATTATCAGGACGTAATGAAGCAGTAACGCAATCATCAACAAGAGGATTGAGAGTGATGAGACATCATGAGGTTCAGATGTAAAAACTGACGAGAGAACGTCAGTAATGAGTAGAATGCAGATGAACAGCTTCTGGTGGACGTAGCAATCCAGAAGGTTTGCATACATCACGTATGTTCCATGCACAACTCTCCGCCCACAGTATGTACGTGATTTTTATGTCTAATTTCCATGATGTTTCATTACTCTCATACCTGATGTTACTTACTACATTACGCTATCATTATGTAGTACTGATTTTCTCATTCACTGCTGCCGTATCACCGATTCGCTCTCATTCATAATTCTCCGAAGAATCTCCACTCCATTCATTTCTTAAGCTTACAGTTTTATTCCAAGTAGCTTGTCCACGCTCTTGAACGTTAACGAGCGATTTGGCATGTCACGACGAAGTTTTCTCTGCAGATAACTGATACGGATTTTACGAGTGACGATAGGATATCCATGGATTAATTTCTGAATCAACTTAATGTTTTCATGTTTTGGTTCCTTTTTGATGAATTGATTGATGGATTGTATGTTTTCGAGGTTATCGCTTAATTTCTACTATTTACAACGAGATTTTTCCGTGTCGTTCGTCTTACGATACCTTAAATACAAGATTACCCGATATCTTTAATTGCTAATATTTCAGGCTTGTTTAATGGTACCACATCAATTATATGCTCAATCTGTTTGAGACGAAAACTTTTGCATTGAATGGAATTCGCTTAATTTTGAATGGAGTAAATCGCTGGAGATGTTCTGGTAAATCTGTTGTCTTCGACGTTGTTGCAATAATTCATCACAGTTCGATGGCTGACACTAGGGAAGCAACGTTTTGTCCACCGCAGCGGGTTCAGAACATGCGGGAACTCACCGAAGAGGGCAAACTCATGTTCAGGTCTCCATTTTTTATAATCGCATTGTTCGGTTTCGATATTCTTGCGTCAAATTCTGACATTATTACAAATAGATGAACTGACGTTAATGTGTCAATTTGATTTTGAGAACAATTAAAGCGATTCAGTCATTCGTTCGATAATGAGAGTGTAGTTCAGGAAGGAAGTTATGCTTCCAGCAATAATCATTCCTGCAAATCACATCAATCGACTGGTAGGCAGTAAGATTATTTTCGATCGAACAATTAAACGACTCTCGAACCGTATTAAGGTTTAGTGATGAGCCTTTTTCATTTACTTTGTTTACTCAAACATTTCTAATAAGTTTTTCTCAAAATTAAGTGATGCTCATGCATATAATTCTCAGCAACATTTTTTAAAATGTTCAGCCCATAGCCGATGTTCCATCGACTTCAAGCAAATGTATCCTGTTCGATCCGGGTCTTGTCAATGAGGAAACGTGTCGTGCAGAAATTTTGAAGAATATTTCACAGCTCACTGATCTATCTTCAGTGCAGTTCGAGCAACGGAATTTGACTATTGAATATGAGGACTGGACAGCAAAACAGTGCATTAACGCCATACTACCAAATGGTTTATTGTTCAGGTTCGATCTCCACTTCTTCTCATTCAACCATTCATTCATCGTTTTCTTATTTGGACGAATGGAGAAATTTGTGGATTTTTGAGATTCTCTTAGAAGAGTGGGGAAAATGCTTTATTCCAGCATCGCATTCCTACTGTATTGAGTGCGGAAATGTTGTATGCATTTTCCAGTGGTTTTTCTCAAGTTGGCCATATTGTGCACGTGAACTTACGTGAAGAACTTTTGCCGTATAAGTTGGCGATCGGAAAAATTCTGTTGGAGAAGACGAATAATTGCAGGTATGGCGATGAGATCCTCAATTTTTTCCAGTTGTTTTGATTTTTGCGCATTCGTTTTTGTGGAAAACAAATAGTTCGGTTGATTGCGGTTCCGTAATGAAGCTTTTCCTGGCTGAATTTACCGAAGAAATGCATTGAGACAAATACTTTTCAAGGACTGTCGTTAATAAGTTGGAGTCGATCGAAAATGAATATCGAGTTTTTGAGTTGGATCTACTCGCCGGTGAGCCTGATTATGAGGCAGAGGTACGTGAAGGTGGAATCCGATACAAGCTGGATTTCAGTAAGGTGAGTTGATGGCATTCAAACTTCTTGAACAAAGTTAAATTCTTACCGAGTTTTTGAACTGAAGCGGAAGGAGAAAGCGAGTCTGAACCCAAGTCCGTGATTGATTATGACACTCCTGAATATAGTGTTGAGAATCGCAATATTTTGTAAATGCCAATTGTTGAATTTATGAAAGTGATATATTTCGAAGAATCATCTTTATTGATTGTATGGTTTTGGGTTATTGATTATCAAATGGAATTTATTGGGTTGGTGCATGAGTTCGTTCGCTTTTACTCAAATTCAATTATTTCGGCGAAAATCCATGTTTCCTTAGATCTTTGTATAGATCTAATATCAAGACCTTCATCCAATATCTAGTAGATCTTTGTATCTAATTTCAAGTTCCAGATGAAATCTGAATGTACCATCAGCATATAACAATTCAGGTTTTCTGGAATAGTCGTCTGAGCAGTGAACATGATCGTATCGTACGACAGTTCAATCAATTTTCGGCAGTTTTCGATTGTTGTGCCGGTGTAGGACCATTCGTATTGCCTGCTGCGAAACGAGGTGCACCGCTGATTTTGGCCAATGATCTCAATCCAGAGAGTGTGAAATGGTTGAAGACAAATATCGAACTCAATAAATCAAAGGTAATTCACTTTTCATATGCTATCTGTTTCACTCACTTTGTTCGTTGTTTGCTTGTTCTCTTAAGCAAGTGATTTTTGTGATGATCATACGACAACTTAAGTCTCTAGTATCAAGAAATCGCTACGGAAAATTTTATTCCAGCATCGTATTCCTTGTGATGCATTCTCCAGCAGTAATGTTTTTCTAAATTGACTGACTACAAGGTAGAAATTTTCTCCTTTTAGACGTCTAAAAATGAAATCCAAGTATTCTGCATGGATGCTTGCGACTTCATAAGTACAGTGGTTGCGCAGAGAATCGCTGAGGAAGCCGAAAGGTACAAACGAACAAATGAAAGTACTCAGGAGAACGACGAAAAGAGTATGTATTTGTTATGACGGGGTGGAAGAAATTCTTATTATGGGGTGAAATTTTTGAAGTGTTCAAATTTTTGAGGGACTTTGTTGTTGTTTCACAAAATCATTGGTTGTTGGACGTATCAGATCTGAACGAAATTTCTTTGAAAAACTCCCGGGAAAAGGGAGTCTCAACTGTTGTTGTTTGACATCGAAAGTGGAGCGTAGTTTTGATTCGAAGCAATTTTCAGGTAATCACCAGAAAGCGGAAATTCGCGAAGTTCATTTGTTAATGAATCTACCGGCAATGTCGCTGACGTTTTTGCCACAATTTCGAGGTCTTCTCACTGGTTTACGGCCAGACGGTTGGTCTTTTTTTTTCAATATTGTCTTTTTAGGAAGATAAATGTAAACTGATACAGTACAGTTGCACTTAGTCTCATAATGTGAACGGCGCATTTGAGGTGTAAGTTTAATAAACTCAATGAAGCAGTGCCCTCTCAATAATTTCATCGAAAGTCATTTAATTCCTCATTTCGTTGATTGATTTTACTTCGTTATGCTGTTATGTTTTAACGTATTAAGTTGTAGTGTCGTTGCGTTGGACGCGTTACTTTATGTGATTATGATTAATGAATTCATTCACAGTATGTATATAATATGAACAAGGTTATTTCAATTCACAACGATTTTTGTAAAATGTTTGTTTGTTTTTTCAGAGAAACTTCCCTTCTCAGTGTTAATTCATTGTCATCTGTTTGTTAAAGCACACCAAGATGAAGAGGAATCGTGGTATGCAGAAGAAGCAAAGAGACTGGTGGCCGATAGTTTAGGGTAAGTTATGAAGTATGTCATTTAGTTTTTGTATTATTGTGATGAGGATTGTCATTATCATTGTTCATGATCATTATGCTATAGAATTACTATTGTCTGGTTGTACTGTCAGAAGCATTGATAGGAATTATGAAGTGGAGCCCATTTGGTATGAAGGCGAAGCGTGACATTGTTTTCAGTTGTCCCGAAATGAGATTCAAAAATGTTCATTTCGTTCGAAAAGTGGCTGGCCGAAAGGAAATGTATTGTGTTTCATTTGAACTATCAAATGAATTGTTATTCAAAGAAGTGGTAGATGGAAACCGAACTTCTGAAACTTGCGAGGAGCGTGGAGATAGTCGAGGTGATTCTGATTCGAAGAAGTTAAATGATATAATCAAAACTGATGACCTATCACCACCACAGAAGATGGCGAAACTTCAGACTGAAGGCGAGAATTCATGATTAATCGTGATGAATTATTTATTGTTCATGACGTATTCTGAGATATATTATGAATGTTCAACGCTTGACGTTGTTAATATGTTGTATTATTGTTGTGTCGCTTTTTATTTGTTGTATTGGGTTAATTTAAATTGTGATTTTAATATTCGTTGAATGTGTGCATCGGTGTGTTGGTGAAGTTGGTTTTTGATGTTTATTGCGTTTTTGTTATTATTATAATTATGAATAACGTTAACAGATACAGGCCAAAACATGGTCTGGCTCAAGCGCGATAATATTGATGATTTTGACACGCCATCCGGTCTTGAGCGAGGTTTTTCCATCGCGTACCATTCACAGGGAAAACTTGTGTTCGAATGCGGGCGGTTTGTCAATATCTTTGTTATTATTACGGTTGTTGTTGTTATTGCCATTAATTTTGTTGTTTTATGGTAATCGGTATCATTGTTGTACTTTGTGCAATATAATAAACATTCATTTGCAGTTATTGTCTTAATTTGCATGTCCGAAAGATGAGAGGAAAGAATGGATTTAATAGTGAAGAGGAGTAGTACAAGTGATTGAGAAGTGACGATAAGCACCTTGGTGTAAGCTCATGGTCAGAAAAGGAATACGCCAACAACAGAAGTTTAACTTCCAGATTAATTATGATTAATCTGAAAATATGCAAACATCTTCTAAGCATAGTTAACCATGATGAAATCAAAGCATAGTTAACCATGGAAAACTCTCGACATCGTGGCAGCTACGAAGATATAGGTAAAACCACATTCCTCGCTATCGGGAGCGATGCATTTCATGCGTGATAGGTGATCGAACAATGAAATTGTGATATTGTATAATAAATTATTGAGGGCTAGCTTTGTTGACGGCTGTTATTTTATCAAGTATTTTGAATGCTGAAGCAGTTTGCATATGGAAAGATTGAATAAAGCTGATTGGAACATAACACTCTCCATACAATCGCTTCGACCAGATTCTTATAAGAATGCAACTGCAAATCTCGGAATGAATAATTTTCCCTGACCACTCACGTACTTTTAGCTTCTAATCGAATGGACAGAAAATAGTGTGCCGATTGGAATAACATCTGAACCGAATGATGTAGTGGACACAACATCTAAAAATCAAGAGCTTTGCTCTAACTCAGAGCAAAGTTTTGTGCTAACAGAAGATCCAGATTCACCACGACAACAGATATTGATTCATGTTTAGACTGTTCTCAAATGTTAATATACTTCGTGAACTGCATCATGATCGTGGTGATTTCACTGTCTTTATTCGCCTCATCGCATCCCCATAGCATCAAACTTCGTAGATCAAACCGAGGCACACCCCACTACGGCGAAAGTCACAAATCCATTAGATGGCTGCTAAAGAGAGGTCTTGCAATCACCCGCAGTGATTTCCCTAGCCGCACAACCTTCAATGACACAGGTTCCCATTTTGAAAGGATATAAAAATAGGTATCACTCAAAGCTGAAGTGGTTCTATCGTTAAGACTACCGTACTCTCAAGTTTGCCAAGTAAGACATGAATATCTCTACACAGTTCGATTTCTCAGGTCCTTTAGATTCTGTATATCATATGTTTTGCCGAGTGTTTTTTCTTACTTGAAGAGATATAGCCATTTTCGTAAATCTATCTCAAATAGCGCAATCGCGCTCATTCGTATACATTACATCACTATAGATCAATGCATATAATATTATAGCTCTATAAGGGTTATCGTCTTCAAGGAAGCGGTACCCTCAGCTTTGGCCAGTAACATATCAATTTCTTCACACCAGTCGATCGAGCAGAATCTCTGCATTCAGAAAAAAATATATTTTGTCGGGCGATTTCGCCTAGTTGAGGAGCTATAGCTATTTGATTAAAGCTATCTGAACTGGCGCTGAGGTGCTCATTATATATTTTGTCGGGCGATTTTGCTTAGTTGAGGAGGTATAGCTATTTTATTGAAGCTATCTCAACTAGCGCTGAGGTGCACATTGATATGCATTTGATCACTATGGTACATTCAAGCATACTTATACATTACTACAGAAATATGGGTACATTCAAGCATACCGTCTTCTCAAGTTTGCCCGTAAACGTTGCATATTATACATTACTACAGAAATATGGGTACATTCAAGCATACCGTCTTCTCAAGTTTGCCCGGAAACGTATTCAAGTTTGTACATCATTCGATTGAGCAGAATCTCTGCTTTCAAAAAATGAAAAGCTCACTGGAAAATTCCGCCTCTGCGAGGAGATATAGTTATTTGTCTGATGCTATGCGGGTTGGCACATCCAAACCTACCGTACCCTCAGCTTTGACCAGCAACATATCAATTTCTTCGCACTAGTCGATCGAGCGGAATCTCTGCATTCAGAAAAATATATATTTTGTCAGGCGATTTCGCCTACTTGAGGAGCTATAGCTATTTGATTAAAGCTATCTGAACTGGCGCT